TCTGAACAGATAGCACTTTCCCTGTGCTTCTGATTTCTACAGTGATAGCCACAGCTACGTTCCAAGCAGATCTAAATGTGACCAGCTGTCCCCAGGTAGAGCAGGCCACCAGAAGACACGCGGAAAGGGTGCTTTGGGGGAAGGGACAGTGGCGAATTCAATTTAGGAACTAAATTATTGTTCCACTTCCACATCACAATCCTGTGCTGTTACAAAGAGCAGAGAGGATCCTTTTCCCTGGCGTCTACTCTGTGCCTTTTGGCAAGAACAGTATTATCCTATGAAGAAAGGTTTGTTACTTTCATTTCATAGACAAGGAAGCTAAGCAGAAGATAAGAGGAGGATGGAGGAGGGAGTCCGCCAAAATCCTCCTGCAGGGACACCATGTTCTCGGTCTGACAGAGCCTGAGGAAAGGTGCTCAGAGTAAAAGTTCACTCAGACTTGTCTTTAGAACTTTCACGCAGAGATCAGTGGAAGCCATCCGTTAACACAGCCTCTTTGCCCCTGTATCTCCAAGAAAAGCCCTCAGGTGAGTGAGGTTTCTCTGTTTTCCTCCCCTCTCCTCACTCACCATTGTCCTGCTTGGTGCACAGGGCCTGTGGAGCAAGCCCTCCTCTTACTCAAGCCTAGAAACTCCTTCTCCCCTTCCAGCTTCAGGTCAGGCTGGCCTGTGTCCTGTTTCCTTCTTGGTCAGCTGCTTAGTCCTAGCTTAGGTCAGTGCACTGGCCCATGGCAAAGTCAGTTCGATGGAGCAGAAACCTCTGAATACTGAAGTCTCCAGGCTAAAGAGATTCTGAGATTCAGGCTGATAGGAGAGGGGCTAGGAGTTGGTTGGAGTTTTGGCCTCTTCTATGCCATTCTGTCTCAAATAATTCTATTCTACACACAGCACGGGACCCCTAAAGAATAGAAGTTGATAAAAAATACAGAATCAAGATGTAATGTGTATATGTACCAGGACACCACAATGAATTTATGTATCACAAACATATGCAAGATAAAAAATGTATAAGGATATGTGCATAATACATCATTTGGAGAGCATTTTAGTCCAATCTTTCAAGAGGCCATTTTGATTAAATAGGGACCTACAGGTAAAATGAAAAGAAAGATCCTTTCTTTTCAGTGGATCCTGAGGATCTTTTCCAATACAAGAAGAGATTTGTAAAAGTAAATGAGGAAATGACTGTAACAAGCTCAGAATTTCACAAGGTTCAAATGTATTTATCTTCTATCTTTTTAAAGTCAATCACAGTTTTCCTTTCAAGCTAAAGATGACTGACTAAGTGACAGGATCCTGGGATTGATTTAAAAGGAGCTTAAAGCAAGGGCACTCTTGGACCCTCACCCCGAAGGGCAGTAAGCCCAGCATTTTCACATACGTGACCCTGTTGTTCATACCTGTTGCCATACCACTGCCAGCTAAGTTAAATTATGCCCATTTTATAGAAGGGGAGGCTTATATTCTTCCTGGTTAAGTAATAAAACCTTAACTCCTAAGATAAAAGAGGAAATAGGAGGATAGACTGTACTGTCTGGGGAGAAAGGAAGTTCCTACTTGCTCTTTGATGTGTTTTTCTGCTCCCCGACTTCTGACTGGATGTACCTCAGCAAAGCAAAACACTCATATTAAGCACTTTCAAAGTGGAAAAGCATTGCAGGATTACAAAATATTCTAAGTACTGATCCTCGTTTTCATGGTGGTGACAGCATAATTTCGATAATTTTGTATGTGATGCAAAGACTGGTCCTCTCTGTGAGAGAGGAGGGAGGAGCCTACGGGTTTGATTGGTCTGGGCAGAAAAAATGGGTGTGAATATCCTGGGTGGGGATAACGCTGAGCACACATCCAGAGGGTGCGAGGTCAGTATGCAGGGCAACAGAACTGATGTGGGGTGCAGAGCAGAGCAACAAGAACAGGGCCTGCGAGAGGGGACAGAGGACAGGGTGCACAGTTAGGTCTGCAGCACCAGCAGGGGCGATATCTCAATGTGTGCATGTTGGGGGGGGGTTGTGAGTGTGCGTGTGCGTGTGTGTGTGTGTGCGCGTGCGTGCATGTGTTGGCACAGTGCAGAATTGGAGCTGGTGAGCATACTAAGAAATACGTATGGGGAATGTGGAGATAGTATTGGTCTGGAACCCAAGAGGCAGGGGTTCTAGTCCCAGCATTGTTGCTAGCCAGAAATGCAACTTTAAACTAGCCACCCAACACTCCAAGGCACTTTTCCTTCCTCTACAAGGCCAAAATTGGAGATCATCTCCAGAGTCTGTCCACATCGATAATTCCAAGGCATTCTGGATCTCTCCCCTTCTTTTTTTGTTACTGGGTGGGGGAGTCAAACTCAGGACCTTGCACTTTGGTGGAATCACTGAGCTAAATCCCTGGCACCATTCTCCTTTTTTTATTGCCCTCTTCCCACCTTCAGCTCAAGGTAACAGAAAATTTATATTTGGTTGGCAAGGAGCACAAGTTTTTCTTTTGTTTTGTTTTTGAGGAACAGCTGTTTCATCCGGATAAACCAGATAAGCCATGTCATCGCCCAAAAAACAAAAGAGGGGAAAAAAAATGAGAAATCTGAATCATTGTTGGAGCACTTTTAAAGCATGAACCCAAACTGACCCATATGGTTTTGATGAAAACTATATCATTTCTTTCACTATCTGCTTACTTGCTTTACGGATCTATTCTTTGATGTGTTCCCACCTAGTCTTATCAGGGGCTCCACAGAGAAGAACCCAGGCATCTCTAAGCTGTGTCTGCTTTCAAGATGTTGTTGGGAATGTTCTGCATTACACAAAGAACCACAGAAGCACCCCACACCCAACCCAAGCCCCCTACAATCTACCCCACCCCATCTCCATATCAGCAAGAGGGACATCACTGCCAATCAGCTGACTCAACTCTAACACTAGGATCCCGTCCACCTCCTTCCTTCTTCAGTCAGTGTTGCTAGAAAATGCAGGGGCAAATCTGGGTCAAACACTTACGGCTACCCTTGCCTGGCCACGGTCTTACCTCTCCCTGGCTCTGTCTCCTTTTCCTTGTTTGTCTTTCTTGGCCTTATTTTTTCCTTCATCTTTTTAATTTATTTTTATCTTCTTGAACTATATGCATTTGGCCCCTTCAATGTCTCCGGGAGGTTTAAAGATAAACTTTAAAAAAAAACAAACAAGGAGGTTTAAGGATAAACACGACGCAATTTAAAGTCTTGGTTTTCTAGATCAGGGTCAGGAGATGAGAGCCCACTGACCAAACCCAACTACCACCTATTTTTGGATGGCCCACAGATAAGAGTAGTTTTTAAATATTTTAGTGATTTAGAAAGGGAAAAAAGGAAGATCTGATTGGTAAAAGTTATATGAAATCCAAACTTCAGTGTTCATGAATAGGTATACTGGACCACAGCCTGGCTGTCCACTCATTCAAATACTGCCAATGGCTACTGTTACCACACAACAGCAGAGTTTAGTAGTTATGACAAAGGCAAAAGTGACCTTTCAACCTGGAATGTTTACTACCTCACTTCCTACAGACAAAGCTCAATGACCCCTAGATTAGGGCTTCATTTTACATTCTTTTGTGTTACCCCTGCCAATGTGAGTACTGCAAAATTGCTCCAGAGCTAGATATTTTCTGCATCTTCAGTCTAGATATTTTTTGTGCTTTGTTCATTAAAGTGCCTATTAAGTGTACGTTACCCTTGACTAAGGTGCCTATTTAATGTCTGCCTAAGATCAGTGCTATGTAATAAAGATAATCAACTTTCAGCCACTTTGAAATCACTAAAAGACCCTCTTCGGTGACTATGTCATAGTCACTAATAAAATGAATTTTAAATGTTTTATTTTTGCTGAAAAGTCTAGGCCAGCAGAAGGCTCTGTTCACTAAGCTGGCACATTTTACAACATTCTCAAACATTTTCCTCTGGTTTCTTTTCAGCTGACACGTGTGTTTGCATATTTGCTGATTTCTTTCCCTCTACTGGTCAACTTCAGTTGGAAATAAAACCAAGTCTCCATAGAAACACAACATAATGCTCTCTCACAGATAATCAAGGGACCAAAGCAGCTGGTATTGGGCTGCAATGGCATTTAACCAAATTAGGAAGGGAAAACAGCTTACCTGCTCTTCCAGACCTCAGAATTCTAAAGCTTAGCGTGAAACCTACCAAGACTGTGAATTATAGAAGGTTGTTTCATTCTTTATTTTTCTTCCTAGAGTAATCTCATCGATTTATATGTTCTAGTTAAGGGACTTTCATCTCCCCCCACCCTTATATGGGTAGACAAATGCTATAAAACAAATGAGAAGAAAACCTACATTTAGTGAGTGGCTACTGTGTGCTACGTGTTATCTGTCACAGCTGGATCAATGTCAGAGTTCTAAAATCAGCGCAGCTGAGATTTAAACTCTGGTCTGCTTAACTCCAAAGTTCATTCTCTTTCCACTACACACAGACTTCAAAAGGAAGAAATAGAAAAGACAAGGTTGAACAGAGGTCTTTTAGTACAGCCACGGTGCCCTTCCCCACAGCCTTTTTCCTGAGGGAAAAATCAGAATAAAGGAGAATCTGAAAGTCACCGTCTCCCAGCTATGTTCATAAGAAATCAGGTCAAAAGCCAAGCTGAGGGCCCGGGATTTAGCTCGGGGGTTCCACCGCCTGCCTCCCAAGCACAAGGTCTTGAGTTCGATCTCCGGTACAAAGAAAAAAAATAAATAAATAAATAAGCCAAGCTGAGAAGGAACAAAAAGAGCCCTAGTCCTCTTTTCTAAGAATCTTCCCAAATTTTTAAGAAAAATGTCTTAAATAGGAGCAATTAATCGGTGTCTTGAAAGAATAAACAAAGTGCTGCGGACATTTGGGGAGGGAAGAAGGGCGAGAGTACAGCACATTCATCGCACTGTTACTCGAAGCCTTGGCTATTTCTTGGGATGAGTGAGTGATCAGTCTGACTTTTCTCTTTTAAATCTCTGATTTGGGAATAACATTTTCCTAGGTCCCACTTCTTACTAAAGTGTGATCTGGCAGTGTCTATGCTTGCCCATGAGCTGGCCCCCGAGCAGGACCTGGCATCCCCAGCTTCACCCCCTTCTCACCAAGGCAGTATGAAGAGATGTGTCAGACCTATGCCTAGCCCAAACCGTGGGGTGTAGACAACCCACAGAGGCACCTGAGCCCGGGGTGGAGGTGGACTGGCCCTCTCCCCACAGCAGATGCATTCCGGGCCCAACTTTCATCTGAAGCAGCCTTGCATTCACTTGTTTGAAGTAAGTGTTTCTGTGTTCCTTTTCTTTTCAGCTTAAATTGAGTTTATTGGTACATTTTAGGGATACAGTACAGTTACATTCATTGTTGGGATCTTGTACCTCTACAGGACAGGTATTGATTCTCATTTTTCCCCTTGTCCCTGCCCTCCCTTCACCCCCTCCTCCCCTCCCCATCTACAAACACTTTATTTCCATCTTTTCATTCTCTCACATTTTTTTCTTTTCCCTTATTACCCTTCCCCTACCCACCCCACCTTCCCTACACCTTTACCCCCTTTCTCCCTTCTGGATTGTATTCCTGTCTGACCACTGGCACACAGCACAAGATGTGGAGGTGATATTTGAAGTAGGACATTTGAGAGAAGAGAAATACGCGATTGTTCGCGGCAGTACCACCTATCTGTGATGAAGACATGGTGAGTTTTTACTTTGGTTTTTTTTTTTTTTTTTTAATAAAGCAGTGCTCTCCCCCACCACCTGATCCGAGTTCACACAGCACCATTATGACCACAGTGCGAGCCAGGGAGAAGATGGGAAAGAGACTAAGGCAGCCTGAAGGGGTGTAGGGAGAAGGCGGCTCTGCCCTGTCTGCAACCCACACAGTCAGGCAAGGAGGAAGGACACCTCCCCCACCCCAGAGTGTAAAGCCCAAGTGTTCTTGGAAAGGGGTCTGATTCTTTGGCTCTCCTTCTAAAGAATGGGGGGGTAGGGCAGTCTTGGGCTCCCTATGAATCTGTAAGAACTCATCCTTCTTCGGTACAAGCCCCTTATTACATAAAGAGTCTGTACAAAATATTTTGGTCTCTAGAGAGGAGTCTTATCATTGCAAATTGCTTTATTAATAAAATTAGCTAATAAATTAGAGCAGAAGCTACTATACTGAAATAGACTCTAGATTATAAAAAAAATGAAGTCATTAGCAACATCTTGCACATGAAAAACAATCTTATCCTGTGAAGGAAAACTTTTAACTTTAGCTAGGACGACCATCCTAATGCCAAATTACTTTTTTCTGTTTTCAGTTTCCTTGCTCTTCTGAATGGCTTCTATTCAACTTCCAGGGGATTTAAAACTCCAGCTTGTGCAGATGCTACTGAGTGACTTAGCTAAGTGTAGGCATATTTTGCAGAATGCTGGGACAGTCACTCCTCTGAAAAAGAATACTTCCCATCTCAGAGCAACTTATAAAGATTGTACACCCAACTCCCTACCGGGAAAAAAAAATCTCTTCCTTTTGTTAACCTTTCACAGAATAAATAGTGGTATTAGAAAGCACACAAACCAGTAATTTATCTTGGGCTGCACTAATAAAAAGTTCTGTCATTTCAAAAAGAACTTGAACTACTTTGTTAGCCATTAGCACAGATACAGGCTTAGAAGAAACACATTTCTATCTCAGGCAGCATTAAAAAAAAATTTACTCAGCTTACACACTCTTCAGAAGCACGAGACTCCCTTTTTATTTCTGCCCACTGAATCACCTATCTACTCAGAGCCAAATCACCTATCTACTATTTCTACTGGCAGCACATGGTTAAGACTTTCAACAGCAGAGCTTGGTCATCTTTTGTGTAACCCTTTGAGCAAAGAAAAAGATCATTTAAAACTCAAAAGAAAAAGAACCTAAGAGGACTCACAACATTTATTTTCTTCTCCTTATAACATTTTTTTCCTATTTCCAACCTTATTTCTTTAATAGCAACAACCTCTGACTTCAGTGCAACACCCTGGTTGGATGCTACTGTCACCAACTGTACCTGTAGGCCATACCCGTCTGTGCCCTGGTGGTTTCCTGCAACGAAATTCCGTGGACGCGTAAAAACTTCTCCAGATATTTCCGTTCTGTGGTTTCACTGGGCCTAATAGGCCAGCAAGTTGCCTGAGGTTGAGTCTTGTTCACTGTTAGGTTCCGTCGGTATTTTAGAGCCGATTCACTGGATTTGGGCAGACCGAGCTTCGGGCTGGGGATGTCTGTACAGGCAGGTTTATAGAGATGCATGTTTCAAAACCCAAGGACGGCACTTCACGCCTAACTGCAGTTATTTGGCTTTGGTGTGTTCTTAAAAAGAATCAGCTTGTTTGTTTTTTTGGCTTTTTTTTTTTCCAGATCTTCCTTATTACTTTTTGTATGTGAGCAGGCTTCTAGGTTGCAGGCAGAGCTGTTGGTCACATATCTCTTCCAAGGCCCTGGCAAAAGGGAGCCTGACAGAGTCTGTTTCAACTTCCCAAAGTCAAATGTATGCAACTACATACTGGCCCTGGGGAAAAACGAGGGGCACTTTCCCACAACTTTCTATTTAGGGAAAAGGAAATATTGTGGTAGGATGTGAGCCAAATCTTCTATTTTCTTAAAAACCATAGGCCAGGGGATGATTTATGAGTGTGTAATGAGACCACTCTAAATTACCACATTATTTGATGAGTCAAATAATAGTTTCTACTTGTGGCGTGCTTCGTGCGGTGAAAATTCCATTAATCCTTCTCTTTTTCAGATGTTGCTGTCAAATGATAGGAAAAAATCCACAAGATTGCTGCAAAAAGCAAAGACTCACACAAATAAAGCCAGCTAAGTTTTGATAAAAGTGCAAGAGCAACTCCCTGGAGGAAGGAGAGGCATTTCAACAAATGGTGCGCTGGGGCAATGGATGCTCATAAATAGCAAAACAGAGCCCTAAAACAAGCGAATTCTTGACTTAAACTCTCAGTGTTTATACAAAAACTAACTCAAAATGTATCATGAGCTTAAAAGTACAATGTAAAACAATACAGTATCTAGGTAAAAGCAGAAGAAATCTTCAGAGTGTAGATATAAGTGAAGAATTCTTAAACTTGGTATCAAAAGCACAATCCATACAAGAGAACTTTAACAGACTGGGTCCCATAACATTAAATACTTTTGCTCTAGGAAAGACTGTGAAAAGGAAGATAAACAAACTATTAACTGGGAGAAAATATTTGCAAACCACATATAAACAAAGGGGTTATTTTTAAAATATGTAAAGAACTCTCAAAACTCAATAATAAACAATCTATTTAGCTGGTGAGGAAAAGATACCTACAGATATTTCACTATGAAGGATATACAAATGGCAATAAGCACAAATGAAAATATCATTAGCCAACAAGGAAATGCAAATGAATGTATAATCAGATATACTATATAAGGGTGGCTAAAATAAAAAGAGTGATAACAGCAAAGGCTGGCAAAGATTCAGGGAAGCATGATCATTCACAAATTGCTGTTGGTAACGTGCAACAGTATAGTCAGTCCAGGAAAGAAGATGGCAGTTTCTTCTAAAACTGAAGTTGCCAAACTTACCATATGACATGACAATTGCACACTTTGATTTTTATTCGAGAAATTTAAAAGTGATGTTTACATAAAAACCTACACACAGATGCTCATAGCTTCTTTATCCATAATAACACAAAATCAGACACTACCCAAGTTTTTTTACTATAGGTAAATGTCTAAACTATGGTATATCCATCCCATAGAATACTACTAGGAATTTTTTAAAAATGGACAAATTATTGATATGCACAACAACTTGGGTAGAACTTAATGATGAGTGAAAAAAGAGCCAATACTCAAAGATTATACATTACATGATTCATTTATGTAACATCCTTTTTCCTCAGTACTCAGGATTGAATCAGGACCTGAGCACTGAGCTACATCCCTAGTAGTTTTAAATTTTTATTACTTTTATTTGGAGCCAGTGTCTCACTGAGTTGCTCATTTGTCTGGGTTAGGCTGGAACTTGGGAATCCTCCTGCCTCATCCTCCCAGAGTGCTGGGATTTACAGTAGTATGGGATAGTGCCAGGCTTATGTAACATTCTTGAATTGATGAAATGATAGAAATAAATAACAGATTAGTAGTTGCCATGGGTTATGAAACAGAAAAGGAGGAAAGCAATTGTGGTATGAAAAGGTAGATGAGGGATTCTTGTGGTAGAAGTGTGTGCCTTGATTTTGGCAGTGGCCATACCAATATATACTGCACATGGCATAGAACTGCATAGATCCAAATCACACATACTCACAAATGAGTGTATAACTATGCACGCTGATAAAATCTGACAAGATCAGTATCTTATATCATAAATTTCTTGGTTATGCTGTTAAACGTAGTTCTGTCACCATTTGAGGGAAACTGCGCCATTATTTGGGGAGCTGGGTGAAGGGGATATGGGCGGTCTGGTATTTCTTACAATTACACGTGATGACAAGTACCTCACAGTGAAATGCTGGGGGAGCACAGGGTCTTTTCACCTTGTGATCCCTTCTGTGGCTCTCCTCCAACTGTGAGGCCTGGACATGAACTGTTTATCCATTTGGCCCAATGGACCCCCACTTCCCCTTCAGCCCAACCCCTGTGGTCTCATGGCTTCTCCTGCACCCCATAAACTCACATGCTCACCTCCTGAACCTCTTTTCTTACCATACAGCAACCAGCACACACTCCTTCTTTAAACTTCCACTTAAAATTCAAGTCTATACATCCCCTCAACTCTTGCATACAGTCTCATAAACGCTTACACACCTCTTATGATTTTTGCCATTTTTTTTTATCCTACGCCATCATTCATTTATTATTTGGAATTAAATTTCCCTTTTTACATAAGTGAATTTATTTAATGTTTTCTGCACTAAACGTTTTACACACACACACACACACACACACACACACACATATATATTTTACACACACACACACACACACACACACACACACACAAATGTATACATTTAAATCCTAACCTTCAATGAGCTGGTGGCAGGAAGTGGGGCCTCAGGCCATGACTTAGTCATAAAGGGAGAATCCTCATGACAAGATCAGAAGAGGCCCAGAGCAGCTCACTCTTTCCACTCTTGTCCTGAGTACACTGCAACAAGATAGCAGGCTGGACATCAGGAAGAAGGTCTTTCATCCAGCTGCCAGGCTGCCAACCTCCAGAACTGTGAGAACTATTTGTTGCTTAAGCTGCCCCATCCATGAGAACTTGTTCTATGACCCCAAACTAACACAGTTAGTAAGGGAACAATGATATCATTACCATCATAAACTGAAAAAATGAAACTGTGTGTAGTCTGTAAAAAAATACAAAAAAAAGGTTATGAAATTGCAGCTAGACATAGTAAATTATCCAAAGGCTCTGAACCAGAGTTCCATCTCTTTTTGGTTTTTATTGAGATTAAAAGGTATTAGAGAGCCAAGCACAGTAGTGCATGCCTGTAATTCCAGTTGTTCTAGAGGCTGATGCAGAAAGATATCAAGTTTGAGGTCAGACTGGACAATTTAGTGAGATCGTCTTTCAAAATAAAAATTTTTTAAAGGGCTGGAGAGGTAGCTCACTGATAGAGTACCTCTCTAATTTGTTTAAGGCCCTGGATTCAATATACTAGCGCCACAAGAAAGAAACAAAAGCCAAAAAAGTACCAGAAGGTGAATTTGAGATGTTTACATATTTTAGTATAAATCTGGGACTTTCTGTTTTAAATAATCAAAATAACTAAAGTATAAACTGAAATGGGAGTATACTATCTTTTTAATGTGAACCAAAGTTATTTAATGTCCATGTGTACACTCACTAAATTCATTCCCTTGTCCAGCAGGGGCACTTCTACCTACTTTGGAAAATATACATCCCTAATACACTGTCTGAGAGTATTCATTGCTGGTTTGTACAAGTATGCATCTTAACTCCATTTCTAGATTATAAGATCCATGAGAGGAGGGCTGTATCTGATACAAGCTTGGAACTCCCATAATAGTTAGGATGTTTTGGGCACAATCAACATTTCATAGGTATTAATAGTTTGCTTGCTTTAATTTTAAACTCCCAGTCCCTATCAGTCTATCTTTATTTCCAATCTAGCAGCCAAAGCCCTGAGCCTCCAGGAAGAAGTAAGAGCTTGTAAAGAAAAGGCCTGAAAAGCCAGAAAAGGAACCATACAGCAGGAGGGAGTTGAAACTCGAGTTCCTGAGTGAGGCGTTACTTGTGATTTCAGCACTCACAGCAGCTGTCAGGAAAATCCACTGTGGGAGCTCTGAAAAGGGGAGGTGAGGCAGCGGGGAGGGCCAGAGGTGAACTTGGAAAGCTGCTCACCCAACCTGAGATAGGAGCCCTATCCTGTGTGGCATCTCCTCTGTTCCCTGAATATGGGCTATATGGTCTCTAACCCAGGAGAGGAGGGAGGGATGAGAAAGTCACTATTTGTCTAATTTGTTGAATGGCAAGATTTGTATTCCATGAAATATTAGCTAGTTGTCTAAGTTACTAGCCCCAATAAGACTGTTAGTATTCTTGGAATATACCAAACACATTTATTGCATAGTTGTATATTTTTCATGGCTAAAGAGATCACTTGTTGAGTAGAGTATCCTGGATTTGGGAGCGTGTTCTAGTCATCTAAACATGAGCTCGGCTGGCCTAGGAAGCTGAGGTTGGAGGCGGTGGAGTCAGCAGGACGGGGCTGCGTTCCCACTGTGGAGCATCGCCTAAGTGTACCACGACCACCTAAGTGAAATTGGACCAGGGCCGCAGTTCAGCCCATATTTCCTTATTCTGGTTATTTATGGGATCTTCCTGCTTTCTTCACCTGTCTGCTCACTGGAGTATGCAGATGATGTCAGGAGACATCTGCCTCTACCCCTCTGGGAACCAACTAGAAGGACCACTCCTCTTGTCGCTGCCATCTCCGCCTCACCTTTGTCGGAGCTGCACCAGGTCCAGTTGAGTGTACTGAAGCTGTAGTTAGGTAC